AACTGCTGCCTTTAATGTGCAGGGTAAATGATGTTGAGGGCCGTGTTCTAACCACAACAGGATCATTTCCACCTAAGTAGTTTTTGTGCCTGAATTTATACAGGAAGTGTAATCAAATAAGAATGAAAAAGTAAACTAATTAGCAAAACACAAAACTCCTGAATGAGACACAAACCTCTTTTAGCTGGCGGGCAAACTCGTGACTTATTCTTTTGCCAACCCTCCAACCTCCAAATGTGGACGTTTTTAATCTTTAAAAGAAGATTATCTCACCTTAATGCCAGAGCTAGCGCAAAAGGGCACCAAATCCAAAGTAAAACTTATCAGGACAGCAGTATGCACTGGATATTTACTACAAATAAAACACAAAATAGTTTTTTAAAAAATAAAGTCTCTGAACTGGCATTATATAATGTTTTAAGAGTTTTAGATAATTTAGAGTAGCATGATTTAAAGGTTTTCTTTCCCTGTAGAATATTCCGTTGTCTGGTTATTGCATCTCAGGATCAGCCTTTGATGTGAGAGCTGACAGGATAATTAACAGCACAGGGAACAATGTAAACTTCTTCTGTGGGGAGACCTGGATCGGAGCCAAACCAGACTGTTTTCATAATTTGTCACTTCTTCTAGCAGTTAAAGCAATAAGATGCTAACAACAGATGAAAGAGGTTGGATGAAAATGCAGATTTTAGGACTGGTGGATTAAAGAGATTAAAGGGACCTCTTTTGTCTGCTGTCATCTGCCTTTCAGCTTGAGTGACTGACAGGTTGACTGACAGACTAAATCCTCGATGAAACAGAGACTCTAAGTTTCATCAAGCTATCTGTGCCTTTGTTGATTCAAAAGCTACCTGTGTCTTTGTTTCTATTCTGTGTTAGAGAATTAAATCCTTCTCTAGATGCTGCTTGTTTCCTTTTCTTTTTTATTGTGAAACAAGTAAAAAAAATACTGAATTTTAATGAATGTCTTAAATTGCAGGAGTTGGTTCCTTTTTGGAGGCTAAAGCCAGTGTAGAGGTCGTGTTGACTTTTAAGGGCTTTTAAAGTTAAAGCAAACAAAAGTGTCAGTTTACCCAGGATTCCACAGAGTCTTCCATGGTTTGGTTGCAATGTGGATGGAGCGGTGGTGTGACTGTTAAATAGGAAAGTTGGGGTGTTTTAGGAAATACTGCAACAACATTACACTTGAGTACATATCCTGTTTTCCACAAGAGGACATTGTTTTAGCAGCAAGGACACATACAAACACAAAGATGTGAAATGTGGAAAGATAAAAGCAAGGAAAACAGCAACATGAAGAATTAAAGATAAGAACACTCAAATGCTAAGCTGTGCCACAAACCAAAATTCAATCTGCACTGTTGCAGATTGAATTTTATAATTTTCACCTTTACTGCTGATCGTTTGAGGCAAATTTTGAAGGAACACAGACCGGGGAGTGTTTTGTTTCTTTAACAGTTGGAAAAAGAAATAAACACAGTGCCAGTGACCCCTGAAAAATACTCCAGACTCAAATGTTGTTTGTTTAAAGAAATTTCCAAGACGAGTTCAGGCTGTGTCCTTTCTCAGAAAAGACCTCTCAAGAGCACATCAATCAGCAGGACTGTTTTACTTTCAAAGTATAACATTCATCACATTTCTGATTGCCTCTTGGGTTACACCACTAATACTTTTACTTAACATGTGGGATATTTATAGGATCTCTCCAAAATGACCACAGCTGAAAAGGGTAAAATGATGAAAATGAACATAACACTATTTGGGGTCCCAATTAACCAGGCAATGTCAAAAAAAGAGGGGTTGGGGGGGTGAAAGAGAAGCAAAATGCATCTAAAAAAAGAGGGTTTCTAGGTGGCTAAACATGTGATTCTAGCAGTGTGAAGCGATTTCACGGTGATGTGACATGAAAAAAGACGTAATTGATATTTGGTGTTAACAGCCCGTTGTAATTTGTTACGCTTCTGTCAATTGGCTTACATTTAATTATACTTTTTTTTCAACGGTGTGTGGCCCCATATAAAAACAGCAAATCTTTCTAAAACATTTCATCTGATCTTTCTCGTCATATTTTTCTTGGCATTATTTTTGACTGATTATTTTTGATAGAATCCTTCCTTTTAAACATCTTGGATGAAATCAAACCAACACAACACATGTTTCAGGAACAAATCAAGATGTCCTTGAAGAGTTGTAGAAACAGTACCTCTCAGTAGCTGTCGAAAACGACACTGATTCCCACTGCCTTAAATTCTGTGAAGCTTCGCACTCTGCGTTTGACATGGATGGTGGGCACAAGTGTGCCTGTCTGTTTTACAGTGCGTCTGCTTGACATTAGTCACAGATTATAGTGTGAATGTTACATGGGGTGAGATATGTGCTGCAAATGGCCAACTTGTCACTGTCGATCAAACGATACATTCGTGTGTTTGGCAGCAAAATATAGCAGGCCTGTGTGGAATGGCTTTTTTTTTTAGGTAAAGCAAGAGCTGAAAAGCCCCCTTTTGCACTTATTTATGACTGTGGTACAAAAAATGCAATAGCCTTCCCGTTTGTTAGAAAGTCATGGTTCCATTAGAGTGCCTTAATGGGCAATTGAGGCATTCATCCCAGAAATAACATGGTCTGATAATATCATCTCTTAAACACACTATGGAGCAGTCAGAGGCTAACTGACACTGAGGGACAGAAATCACTTTGAGAAAGGTGCCAGATGTACGGTAATTACACTGTGGTTACTGGTAGTCATAGGTGGCCTTTTTGGCCGAATGGCCTCTGCTGGCACATCATCAGCAAAGGGAAGTCCTGTAGTGGCTGTGCTCTACTGATTTACTCTGCTGCGCTTGGAAGCATTGTACTGACTCCAGATACCCACTATAAAATATCCCCTTTAATGCGTTCCAGTCAGGCATGACTAAATACCTGATTGTCTTAGAATTCACTTCTAATAAGAAATGACAACCATGGGAAGGTAGTAACACGCATCTACCACAGTACCACAATTTAAACAACCTAAAATCTGTTTTAAAAAATCATATCAATACCAATTATGCCAGAGCTGCCCTAAATGACTGTATTGTTGATTAACAAAAAATATTTTTTTATGTTTCTTTACTTATCCACCAGCATGCAAATGCTCTTTGATCAAAATAATATTTTTTTTAATGCTAAAATATAATTATTGTGATTGTCCACGATTCTTAAAATTCACTGTTTTACAGTATTTACTTGCACTCCTGAACAGGAAAAGTAGTTTTAGTAGTTAAAAATGTTCTTAAATAACTTCTTCACAGTCCATTTTATGTATAAAAACACAAATTCAGTTTGTTACTTGCATAATAAATAAGTCATTTTAAACAATTTTTAACAGTATTTTTAAAAAGATTTGCAAGTTTAGTTTTTTCTATAACAGATGGCTTGATAAATTTGTTAAGCCGTTTGTAAGCAGTATGATGAATCTCTTTACAAACCATTTTGCGTCTTTCACATGCGTCGTGTGATTGTAGCATATCGATGTGATGTGATGAGGTTCCATGAGGTACTTTCCTTGCTTGGTGTCGAGCCAGGCTGACTGATGCATTCCTCCCAGGAAAGGCACTGCAGAATGTGACACTTGAATAGGGCTCACGGGAAGGTGCCAGAGACACAGAAGAGGCACACAAAATGGAAAGAAAAGAAGGAATTCTGTGAATGTGATGTAAGGAGAACAGACAAGCAGAGCCCAAAAAAAAACATAGAAAAACTGGCAAATGTTTCTATCAGTATGTCTTGTAGGATTACTGTGTACATCGGTACTGCAGTTTTTGCAGTTTCAATAGAACGAGGCTGAAGAAGAGCAAGAATGTTACTGTTTTTTTATTAAAGCTTTACCATGACTTGTCCCCTGGTTCCTGCAATCGTGAACCAGGGGTTCAGGGCAGTTGCTGGGTCTTTGCTGTGTGGTTAATGCAGTGAATGTTGTTCATTTCAGTGTTAAAGTGTAATAATATTAGCTGGATGTTTTACTTGAGGTCCTCACTTGCATGTACTTGGACAAACCAGCAGAAACATCTTCATATCCAACAGACACTATGTGTATTTCATATGTGTTGCTAATAATATAATAACACAGCCACTGATTAGTAACAGTGTGCTCGTTGTGCTAACAACTGAGAAAAAGAAACTATCTCAGTTACACTTCTTCCAAGTGTATCTCACAAAGGCGCTTGAGAGTCACACAAAGTGAAAAATGGTTGAGTGGTGAACAGAAACTACAGACAACTCATGTAGCATTCCCTTTCAGGAACCTATGTGACTTTTCACCTTCATTTAACAGAGTAACGCTAACGTAACTTTAATTGAAAGAAAGCCAGAGAAATGTGGAGACATACAGTCTGAAGAGATAAAAAAGATGGCAACTGGACTTTCTTAAACTTTAACTGAAAGAAGTTCAATCACTTTCTTTTTCAAGCTCCCAAAACTGCCATGACCTGAATGAGTGAGAACCTACAAACACATGGAGACATATATAAAATACGCTTACCAGAGGGATACAGAGGAAGTGTTGTGATATCTCAGTGTCTAGAATCCCTGGAGCATGATGTACTTGCTTATTTTTTAAGTATGTCTCGTAACGACATATCGTTTTTCATAGGTGTGTCACCAACGGAGAGAATGAGAAACTTAAAGTCTCCCGTCAGATCTCCAATCCCCAAGTTGGGAAGCCCCATCCCCAGCCCTATGTCTGGTCTTCAGAAACTACCCCAGTGCACACGGTGCTGTAACGGTATTGTGTAAGTATTGTGCAAATTCTGATTTGTATATCCTAAGATGACAATAATATGTAAATAATGGGGTCATATTGGCGAGGGACTCTTTGGGCTGTGTGTAATATAAAAACATGTGCATAAAATATAAAAAAAAAATGTACTTTTACATTTCAAGAAGCCATAAAAGTGATTAACAATTTGCTACGGTACAAAATAAACATGACATTGGAGATATAATCGATTTTCTGTTGAAATGCTTGTGAGGTTCAGCAGGAAGTTATGCATCTCCCACTTATTTTATCATTCTGTCTGCTGCCATAAAGTTTAAGAGTATGCAAGGTGAGTCAAGGTTCTTCCCCGATTTTGAAAACAAAGAAGTGATCTTTCACTGGTCGACATGCACCGACAGGCCTTTCAATAAGTCCTCAGAAAGCTCTGCTCCCATTTATCATTTTAATGATTAAACCAAGCCATCCTCCACACCCTTTCCCATGCACACATTCTTCATACACGTATTGTGAATTGAACACACCTTTTGACAAACTAACCACATACACCGGTAATCCCCTCTCTAAAAAAGCAGCTGAGGTTAAAGAAATGTTTAAAAAATGATGTCATAAGCTTATTTTCAGTGTTAACAAGAGAACATTGTGGAAGCTTGTGCAGTATAATACGGCTGCTGTGACCTAAGCACTTTTTACAGTCTTTAAAGATGTATTGAACACTGTGTCAGGAGTTTATCCTGCGAGTCATGCGGCCACTTTGGAAAAGCAAAGCACCAAGTTTATGATTTAATGGTCGTTGGCCCCAATCTCAAGGCCAGACAGAAAAATCTAATTGGAAACTATGAATGAACAACGTCCCTAACACTCTTGTCACCGTGCAGCTGAACAAAGTTCTTCTAAATTCACTGGTGCCAGTAAGTAGCCATGCAGCGGAATAAATGTGTACTGTTTAACAGCGTGTAACCTTTCTGCCACCCGAAGCTGACACACGGCATGTGATGAGCTGTATTCAAATGCTTGCATAGGTACAGTGGCTATAAAGTATAATTCCTGATTTGCATAGATAATGCAACATTTGATGAACAACTGTGAGTCATTCATTTTTGCTTAACCTCTTCTGTGATGAGGACATCTTTCAAAAAGTCAGACAGCCTTTAAAGGAAAACTGCATTTTGCAATTTGCTTATCTGTCCAGTTTCCGATCACGCATTTATGCATTCATATCTTCCTCTATTGCTAAAAAGGTGAAATATAAGCCTTGAACACAGTGTGCACTCTTATTTAGGACATTAATAAATGTTAAAGAGCAGGACTGAATAACAGGCTTAACCAAACTACGTCATCAGTGTTTATCATGATCCAGTAGAAGCTGCAGTAATATCTGCAGTAATTCACTTCTGCAGCTGCAGGATTTTATAACTTGTTACATTTATTTACAGTATAGTAAACTCTTTTTTGTCCTCTTTTGTCTCTACGTGTAGTGGCACCATCGTGAAGGCCCGGGACAAGCTCTACCATCCTGACTGCTTCATGTGCGACGACTGCGGCATCAACCTAAAGCAGAGAGGCTACTTCTTTATCGAAGACAATCTGTACTGCGAGACTCACGCAAAGGCCCGCGTCCAGCCTCCCGAGGGCTACGATGTTGTTGCTGTGTACCCCAACTCCAAGGTGGAGCTGGTCTGAGATAAAAGAGGGGGGGGCTATACTGTAATACAACTGGTAAACCAAAATATTGTAGAATGCGGCTACTGAGTTTACTCGCCTAAACTAATCAGGGTCTGTCAAGCAGGAATGCTTATCTTGGGTCAGTTTTGACTTTAGGAGAGTGAAATTTGCAATTGAGTGATCCCAGATCAGTGCTTCCACACTGACAGACTTGATGAATGCTTTTTATATTGAGCATATCGAAATCTGTTGACAGAATACAGCTTTGGTAAGATAAGCATCGCAAATCTCCAGACTATTAAAAGGTTAGCGTTGTATGTTATAGTATTTAAACTGGCAGCCCTAAGCTCGAAACCAGTGTTTTACAGGAAAAATGCATATGCATATTCACATTGGACTCACAGTAGCAGAATATTCAATGCAATGCTGTAGGCAATAAGATGCGTACACATGGCAAAACTCATAAGAAAACAGATATGACTACTCTTGCTTTTTTACTGATCAGGTTATTACAAACGTAATCTCCCACTTAAGCCTTACACTAACTTTAAGACACCATGTGCATTATCACAAAATATTTTTGAGCTGATTTGCTGGGATGTGATGTGATGAGCTGTGCCGAGGATGTGGTTATTAGCTTCGAGGACTAATTTTCACAGTTCTCTTCTCACCACATAATATTCCAAGTCCTGTAAGGTATTCTGATATATTGTTCAAGTCCTGGTTATGGGTTAAAAGGCATTTTTTCCTTCGCTATAATTTAATAATATACTTATTTTTGGATGGATTTTAGCATTTCTAACTCACATTTATGCAATTTACCTTTTCTGTTGCAAAACCGGGGAACATTTCTGTTTAGTTTCCACTTTTTTCTTCTGCTCACTTGTCAGTTATGCAAACAAAATAAGCAATAGTTCACTTGAAGCATATCTCTAACAATGTCTGGAATGTGTCAGTATGTTTTGGTGACTGGGTTTGCTGAACCTCTGCTTGTAATAAATGCCTCCGTTTGCAGCTATGCAAGCACCACCTTCTGAAAGGTAAACAAATCCCTGCTGGAAACATCCTGAAAACTCTGTGAGAAACTCTAGAACTTGTTGGGAGTCAACTTCAAAAAATGATTCCCCCCAGATGTGAAGAAATGCAAATTAAATGCTAAAGTAAATTAGTTGAATGCAGTGCATCCATTTGGACATTTTAAGCGGGTGTGATGCACATCTGCGAATACAGTGTAGGTAGGTGGTGCTTCTGGCTTATGCACCTGACTGCGAGAGGAATTTCACTTCTCACACTGAAGAATTCCTGTTCACAAGAGCACAGAGTTCACTGGGCGCTGAGCCTTCAGGTTGACATCAGAATTCTCTCCACCTCTCATGACAGCTTTTAAAAACGATTGTGTGCATTTGAGACTGGAGACATAGCCACAGAAATCTGTTAGGACCGTGTAAACTGGGACTTCACAACCTACAACATGTGGGAGCAATACTCACTTTATTTCTTTCTTCGTTTTTTTGTGACCCCACTACATACTGTAAATTCTTACAGTTACTTTTTGGAAGAGAGCAAAAGACAGAAGTTCCCGCAGTGGCTTCAGATTTCTACAGCCAAGCCCTTAAGGCTAATGAAATATATTTCTACATTTCCTCAGAGAAAAGGGGGGAAATAAATTTAGGGACTGAGGTAGGGTGAGAAAGAGAAATGAGGGGACGACATATATTTTGTTTTTTTGACAGAAAAACGTTCTGTAAGAAACGTGTAGCAATCAGTCTTAGCTTATTGTGAAATAATGTAATGTGTGGTGGAGTCAACGTGGTGCAGAGGAGCGATGATGTCCTTAATTTTAGAAATATTGCTAACAAAAATACTTCTGTAATTTGAAATGGGAATAAATTTTTGCATTGCTGATTTCCATTCTGTTTTCCAGATAGTAGCAGTGATGTTTAGCTGCTGGTATCTACCCAAGCCAGTTACGTGTAAATTATTTGAAAAATATATTGCTACCACATTGTGTCTTTGGTATTGTACATATTTGTTTCATTGTGATTGCTTTAACACACAGTATAGATCATGTCACTTGCGTGCCTTCGCAAACCCTGTGTCTAGTCTTTAAATAATTTCCGAGACACAAATCCTCTCCTTGTATTTAACTTATTGTTCTACCAACACATGTTTTTGTTCTGGATCTTCTTATTTGCTCTTTTTTTTCTAGGTTCTAAATAAAATGAAAAGTGCTTTATGATGGCATGATCTTTCACATTCTTTCCTAGGCTTAACTGCTGGATTTTACCACAAAAATGTACAAAAACACAAGAGACTCAATTTGTCTTAATTTTACACCCTAGCTCTGGCATGGTCCTTTCTTCATATTGCATGTTAGACCACAAGACTGCAATATGTGTGCTTTCTAACCAAGACCACATTACAAAACCCTTAAATGGAATATAAAAAAGAAGGAGGTCTTGATTTAGAAAGGCACTTTTACTTTTGTGTGATTTTCTGAGAAATCACAGAGAAGCAGCTTCTTAATTATCGAGTATAGTTTTAATATAATGTCAAATGGATATTTTGTCACGTCAATAATGCAAGGATGAACTACACTTGCTGACTGGACACACCTAAGAGGATATTTCCTGTGGTTATATGCCTAGTTTGTTGCTTTAGTAAGCCTCTATCATTGACACCTAATATGAATAGAATTGGTCATTTCATTACAGTGCTGATACTGCAGAGAAACTTTGGCTGTTAGCATTCATGTGGAAAATACTTTCTCAAAACCCTCCTAAATCCCCAACCAGTGCCTGACTGTGTCCTGTGTCCATTCCTCAATGGTGTATTTTGGTGTCATAAGGGAGACCTACAGAATGTAAGGCAGGGGGTTCTAATGTTGTGGCTGATCAGTGTACTTAAAGCATAAGCATGTAGCTAAACAAATTTAATGAAGCCCCTTTATATGTATACATAATGGCTCCCAGAGTGCCTCAAGCAGCTGAAGACAGACAGTCATGAGGAACGGGAAGCAGAACTATCATGGAAGACCAACCCCTCATGGGGTATACCATAAACAAATAGGGGGAGTGATGGACATCAAGAGATCCTATCCCTGGGTAGAAAAAGGACAGTAGAGCGGATCTGATCATGTCACAAAAACAGACCTTAACCAGCATATCCATACAGGCAGAGATCTACCACAGCCAGCAGGACCCCAGTTGCAGACTGTGCAAAAGTGCCCAGAGACTGTCAACACATAGCAGGATGTAGGATGAAAGTTGGGACAGCGTACATTTTAAAGCACAACCAAGTGGGACAGGAACATTTGTGCCACATATGGACTAAAAGTCCCCAAGTCCCAAATAGGAGACATCAGCAAAGGTCAGTGAGAACAACACAGTTCTAAACAGACAAGCTGATGATGGCCAACAAACCAGACACTGGTGGTTGACAAAGAGCAGAAGATCACAGTCGGGATAGCTGTGGCAATACCATTAGACAGCAATGTGAGAAAATAGTCCCAGGGCTGAAGGAACAGCTGGAGCAGATCTGGAAGTCAAAAGTAGTCCCAGTGGTAGGAACATTAGGAACCCCCAAACAAGGAGAGTGGATCCAGCAGATTCCAGGTACAACAACAGGGGTCTCTATCCAGCAGAATAAGAATAGCTAAAACCTAATATATGTGTATAATATATATAAATTATATATATATAATTGGTTATTAGAATGAGTTAAACTTCAGCAAGTGAAAGAGAAATCAGTCTTTGAAGGACAGTAGGAATCTAAAAGAATGATAGAGGGTGAAGCAAAGGGCTAAGTTCACTCCTACTTCACAGCTGCTAATTCTTCAGACACCCGTAACACTCATAATGTTTACTTTTCCTTATCTTTTTTGTTTTACTACTATACTACAAATATACAAATACACTAATATACATAAATATATTTGTGCCACTGCAAGGGTTCAGACACAGAGAAATTTATGAAATTAAAATTAAAATGACCTCAATTTTGGTGCAGATTCCCTTCACACTAAAAAACTTCCCAGACCCACACAGTGAGGTGCAATGAAAACAGGCAGTGAGATATACAGCTGTTGCGTGCTAAGACTTCTGCTTCAGCAATAAACATTCTTAAAGATAAACATTTCAAGTTGCTCAGAAACACAGCTTGCTTTGCTCTGCAGGCTGCAGCATCGCAAACCAAGCAACTAAGACTGTGAAAGCTGACTAAGCAATTTTATTACTTACCAGATCAGCAATCTAGCCAGTGTCGGCCAAGTTTATTGTGTTGAACTTCATGGAAAACGCTTCCACATACAGTATAGACATCTCACAATAAGTTTGTGGATAAATCAGAATAGACTCGGTATACTTTTTTTTATGGTGGAACAATAAATCTTTAATGACACGCCCAATGCAATATATTTAATCCTTGGCTGCAATAGTTAGGGGCTATGTCATTCTGGAGCCCTCTGGTAGAAGTACAGGCTTGACAGCTCTTTCTGTACATATACAGAAGCTAATCATCATGCAGGATCTACCTCATACATCAAGTTGCCATTTTTCATACTTTACACGTTCTCATATAGATCCATTCTACCCTGTTGTTTTCTATACTTTGCTGTTAGAGATATCAATGAATTTCCATCACACACTTACCTACAGATGATTCTTCTTATAATTTACATAAGATTTCAGAAAGTTAATAATACAGTGCATCCTTTGTGTTTACAGACAACACCTGTTTTCTTTATCTTCTCTTTTATAATCTGTGCACTTCATTCCCTCTTTATTGAGCATAGTGTTCATTCCAGGTTTGCGCTCTGCAAATATGACTCTGTTGCTTGTGCCAGCCATGATTTGCAGAGTCTCTCTGGACGAGTACCCAAGCTGCATTTGGCTTTAAGTGACTGCACATGCAGCAGAACAGCATTCTAGCCATTCCTTTTCACAGAGAAACTGAAGATGTTCCATAATTCAAAAACACATACAAAGAGCACACAATAACTTAATTTATTAAAGTTTGGCTTTGGTGGAAGACTAGAGTATGATGAAGGAGTCGGTAGCTTTATGAAAACACATGTACTTTGGTGTCTAATAAAGCACTCAAAGCTTTGTTACTGAAGCTGATGCAGTGATATTAAGACACATGACTGTTTTTGCACTGCAACAGAAAGGTTTACTGTTGACCACTTAAAAACATGAGAAGAACTTCACAGTCAGAGCTGGGACATTGCAGCATTTCTTTTATTTTGATGTCCGACCACTTGCTGGCCACATTGCACACATTGCATTACTGTTTGTATAGCGCACACAACTCTTTTAGAAGAAAATCTGCTGCTCTGTGAAAAAACCTTTTTTATACCAGTTTCTAGACTTCTATGTTTGTTTGCACAAAGTAATTACAAGTAACTTGCAAACTTCTTTGAATGTAGTTGTTTTAATTCAGACTTGGAGAAAACTGTGTGCCTCAGTATGGATAGACTTCAGGACCAATTTTGTTACTCATGAAGGTATTTGAGTTTTTTTAAAAATAGGGTATAAAAAGAATAGAAGGATAGTAGTGATAAAAATCTTCACAAAAGCATGAAAAAGCCACACAGTTTGTGTACACCCATGGTTTGTTTGCAGAGATTCTTGTGCATGGAGGCCTCTCAATCCTCTTAATGTTTAAGTTGGCCCTGAAAAGATATTGAAGCTTGGATTACGCTTTGCTTTGATTCTCATTAAAAGGGGATTTAGAAAGAGACAGTCACTGATCTTGAGACAGCAACACCATGACCTCACTGTCACTTAGCTACTAGATGAGAAATAAGTCAGGACTTCACACTCAAGTGAGACTGAAAAGATCCTCCTGAACCAAACTTCAGGAGGATCTTTTCAGTCATACAGCTTAGCAAAATAATGTCAACTGTTTTGATAGATCTTAGTAAAACGTGGTAGAAAGTAACCAAGTAACACATGCTTCACTTTTGAACACTTGTTTTTTTCTCATGAACTCACTCAAATAAAAAAGTTTGGCATGTGTTTCATGGATGTTTCTGATTTGAAATAGATTAAATATATCAAGTTTGGTCATTTGTGTAGCCTTTGTCAGATGTACCTTATGTGCTCTCTGACTTATAGTTACTTAAGCTAAGTTGCCTAATCATATGTCACCCCGCCCTGAACTAAACTGCTTATACTGAACTGAGCAAACACTTCACATTTAAACAAAACAAGAGTGACAAATTAATTTTGCAGTAAAGAAACATAAGGTACTTGGAAATCGTGTCAACAGCACGTCATTTGTGTTTAAAGATTTGGACAAACTTGACTGGAGGGTAACAGAATCCACAGTGTACCGCAAACAGATGACATAAGATGGCATTCGAAGACAGATTGGGAATTAGCCGATATTTGTTCATAGTGTTAAAGATATGCAGGCCATATGCTGCATGTAACGAATACCCTGTGAGGTTTTTGTTTATTCTGAAGAATATAAATGGTCAGAGGAGCTGTCACGCAGTTGCCAAGAGGGCTTTGCTAGAAGATCTTTTGTTTTTCAGAAAAGTGCAAAAATATCTGCCCTGTTGAGTCTGTTTAAAAAAAAGTGAACATAAAAAGCAAACAGATGGCTCTATGTTTTGGATACTCTCACCAAAACCTGACTCTGGATGAGGTGTTTTTACGACAGATGGAGGCAGTGGATCGGTTTCCACATCAAGAGTCCTTCTTCATTAAAAGAGAGTTGGGGATTTTTTCAGATATCAGGATTGCCTAAATTTGTATTTTGTCTTCTGACTTTTGTTTATGGATGAAACTAAGCTGAAACCATCACTTGCAATCCAAAAATGTCACGTTAACGTGTGTTAAAATGAGCTGTATGCATGTGAATTTAGCAATAACTGTCTGTGTTAGTCCTGCAATAGACTGGTATGCAATGATATTCATCAGATTCTACTTAATTTCAGACTGGTTCAAGGTGCATACAGCCTCTCACTTTATTTGTTTAATCTTTTGATCACTTGCCATACTTGCAGTGAGACTGCATCTTTTTTTCTTATCCCTCTGAGTTAAAAAGACAAAGATGCTTTCAGGTTACATACTGGTCCATGCCATCAATATATCAGGGATTTCATATTTCGAACGAAATGTGAGAATATTAATTTCAAAAATCAAGAAAAAAAAAAGAATTATAAACAAAAACTATGAACAAAAGACTGCACAAAGGGGTGATTGGCAATGATATGGGTGGAAAGGGCAAG